TGCATGGGCTCGAAATGCAAACCGCTGCTGCCTGTGCTAGGATCTTTCATGTTTGGACCTCTGTCCGTGCCACAGATGGACAGACAGACAGACGTGGGTCCACGGCCCCACTGGGCAGCCCTGAGATCTTGGGCAGGGGACGTGACCCACGTGGCTTCTGTGTCCTTCTCTGATACGGGGACCCTCAGCTCTTCACACAGTGCCCGGCCCAGGGCAGCAGCTCATTCTGTAGATAGGAGTCGAGGAGCCATGGCTCTTGGCAGTAGGAGCCGGCCACTGTCCTAGGGGCCACAGAGGAGCGGGAAGGAGGGGCCGGGCCAACCCCCTCTGAGGAAGACGAGTGACCCCCCCTCCACGCCAGTAGGTCCCCCCGATCAGACCTAGCCAGGCGCATCTGCCCCAAAGGCCACCAGGTGCTCAGGGGACAGAAAGCAGGATGCAGCCTGACACCAGACAGAGGTGGGTCACCCTCAGGGCCGTGAACCAAAGCAGCCACCAGGACAGAGAAACGTGGGCCACACCACCCGCCCAAGTTCTGTGTTTGTGGTTTACAGCTTGCTTTTCACCCAATAAGCAAGATTAAACAGATTGAAAATATAAATCATCTAATCAGCGAAAAACCACAAAATGCAGATGTTAATAGGGAAAGCCAGCCCTCCCTGAACCCCCGCCAGGCCCCAGACCCCGTTCCGGGTGGTGTGTGTATGTACCGTCAGCGCCTGTGGTTACCACAGCAGCGCCGTGTGGGGAACACCATAGTCGTCCCTATTGAATCGAAGGGGGACCTGAGGACCGACCTAAGGTCGCTAGGTGCTGGGTGGGGAAGTCAGTACTTGAACCTGGAGCCTCCTGCCGCCGCCCACACTCCTCGGTGGCTGGAGCACCTGTCACGTGGCCTGGACACAGCTCTTTCCCATCTTGAACTTCAAGGTTCTTTAGAGGTGCCTGCCTTGCAGGTGCACGGAATAGCACCCCTGGCCGCCCCCCACCTGGGGCAGAGCCGCCGGGGTTGCCTAAACCTGAGCCTCGTTCTCTCCCCCCTCCTCCCAGGTGTCCGTTACAATGCAGAGAAGAAGAAGGTCGGCAATTACTACACAACGCCAATCTACAGGTAGGGGCAGCCTGGGGGGGGGTCCCAGAGGGACGAGCTGCAGGGGGAGGGGCTACAAAGGAGTCTGAGCAGGAGGGCAGCCATTCCTTGGGGGCCATTCGCTGCGGTCCTTTCCTGGAAGCTGTCCTGGTCTGTCAGTCAGGGTACATCTCTCTGCCTAGAACCCTCCATGGCTCCCACCTTCCTCAGACCAAAGAAAGCCTGAGTCCTCCCCGTAGCCCACAAAGCCTTGCCCGTTCTGCCTGGTCCCCTCTGCATCCTCCCCTCCTTCAACTCTCCCCCCGAGTTCCCTCGCACACCCCAGGAAGGCCCCCACCTCGCTGCTCTCAGCCTGGAATGCTCCTCCCCAGATGTCTGCAAGGCTCCTTCTCCTTCCTTGGGTTTCTGCTCCAAAACCACCTCTCAGAGAGGCCTTTTCCAAAGCCACACTCACCACCTAACACTGGCAGCCTCGCTCCAGAGGGTTCGTTGAGTGCGTGAACAAACAAGTGAACAAATTCCAGACAGAAGCTCTATCTCCCCACAGCCACAACCGCAGACACAGAGTTCGGCGGGTAGTAGGTGCTCAGTGAACACTTGCTGAACGAGGCGCACGAATGGAAGGAAGCAGGCAAGGGGTGCCGGGCAGCCTGGGGCCGCCGCGGTGCCCTGACTTCCGCCCTCTGCCCACCCAGGTTCCGGATGAAATGCCACCTGTGTGTCAACTACATCGAGATGCAGACGGACCCCGCCAACTGCGACTACGTGATCGTGAGTGGCGCCCAGCGCAAGGAGGAGCGCTGGGACATGGAGGACAATGAGCAGGTGCTGACGACAGGTGAGCACGGTGGGGTGCCGGGGGGGAGGGGGGGACCCGACAAGTGAGCACGGTGGGGTGCCGGGGGGGGCGGGGTGACCCGAGGCCAGCCCCGAGCCCCAGCCCGAGCCTGAAGGCCCTGGCGCGTCCTCGCCGTTGCAGAGCAGGAGAAGAAGCAGAAGCTGGAGACGGACGCCATGTTCCGCCTGGAGCACGGCGAGGCCGACCGCAGCACGCTCCGGAAGGCCCTGCCCACCCTGAGCCACATCCAGGAGGCCCAGAGCGCCTGGAAGGATGACTTCGCTCTCAACAGCATGCTGCGGAAAAGGTTCCGGGTGAGCGGGGCTCCTGCCTGGGCGCGGGGACCACGCGCGGCGGAGGTCACCCGTGTTGGAGGGGGCAGAGTGCAGGCGCATGCCAGCTACAGGCGGGCCGTTTCGCCCCTGAGCCTGTTTCTCCACGTGACCGCGTCCCCCACCTCAGGGCACCCACGGGAAGCCCCTAGCCCAGCGGCTGTTATTAACCAGGGGGCCCCTTCTGGGGAGCCCCAGTTCTGCCTTCCGGACATCGTCCAAGGGAAAGAAAGCGTCGAGCTGGGGCGCAGGTGAGGCCCGCCCCGCCAAGCGGCCCAGCCGGGCCCTGACCTGCTACTCAGCCGCTAGCACAGGTGTGCGGGTCCATCAGCCATGCCCAGACGGAGTCCCGAGGCCATCAAGCCACGCCCGCATAATTGCCAGAATTTCTCTGCAGTGCCGCCCCCCCCACCCCCCGGTAAAGACTGTCTAAAAAGGGAAAGCCTCTTACCACGCAGTGTGGTCATGCGTGTTGCAGTGCGCAAACGCCTGGGCGAGACGCCTGCGCTTGTGTGCGGGGGCCCAGGGTACAGGTTCCCCACTCCCATCTCCCGCCCCCTCCCGTCCCCCCCACAGTCCTCGCTCAGTGCTTGCTCGCGTCGCCCACTGGCTGGGTGACTCGCACGTCCCCGGCACCGTGGGAGGCCCTTGCCTCGGACGAGCTTGGAGGGGAGGAAAGCGAGTGTTGTAGCGCGTGCCAGGTCGTCGGGCAGGGAAGAGGCAGGCCTTTGACAGCCACCGTACCTGTCCCCCGCCCTGTCCCCCACCGCGCAGGAAAAGAAGAAAGCCCTGCAGGAGGAGGAGGAGCGGGACCAGGCGCTGCAGGCAAAGGCGAGCCTGGCCATCCCGCTGGTGCCCGAGTCCGAGGACGACCGCCGGCTGGCCGCCCTGCTCAAGTTCCACACCCTGGACTGTGCGTTGGGGGGCCTGGGGGCGAGGGGGGCCGGGTGGGCGGAGATGGGGGTCCCCCAGCCATGAGCGGACCCCCAGGGCAGAGGGCGGCTGTGGACCTCCTTCCCTCTCTTCCCTCCCGGCCCCCAGCCTACGAGGACAAGCAGAAACTGAAGCGGACGGAGATCATCAGCCGCTCCTGGTTCCCCTCTGCCCCCGGCCCCGGCAGCAAAGCCGGCAGCGTCCTGAAGAGGCTGGCCCAGAACCGCAGATGCGCGCCCGTCAGCTCCCCCATCACCGTAGGGGACCTGGGCATCGTGCGGCGGAGGTCCCGAGAGGGCCCCGAGGGCCCCCAGCACGCGGCAGAGACCCTCCGGCCTGGGGAGCTGCGGGTGCCAGCGGGGAACCCCCAGGACAGGCCCGCATCCCCCCAAGACTGCTCCGCGGAGACCCCCGCGACCTCCAGGGGCAGCGGGCCTCCGGGGCAGGGGGGGACCTGGCAGAACAGCCCCCAGCCCCCACCAGGCACCTCTCAGGAGGCAGCCACGTCCCAGGACCCGCCGCACCCCTGCACCCTCAGCTCCTCCCTGGTGGCCGATTACTCCGACTCAGAGAGCGAGTGAGCAGTTCCGGGGACCTGCGCCAGAGGCCGCGACGCACCCAGGAGGCCCCTCCCGGGCTGCAGCCCTGCTTGCCCCCAGCCCTCGGGGAGCCCAGACGCTGCCCCTCCCGAGGCCTCGCCTTCCTGCAGCAGTGGAGTTATTTATTTGGTCCCGGAGAGGGTGTTTGTGCCTTGTGGGACGACATCCCAACATTAAAGCCCTGCTTCTTTGTCCCTGCCTCGGGTTGCCTAGATGGGCCCAGGGGCTGCCTTCTCCACCCCCAACCCCCCTGCTAAGCTTGGTGGGACCATCATCAGCCAGTGTGATGCCGGCAGCCACAGCTGTGATCCCCACCCAGAGGACCTCAGTGCGGTCGCTCAGGTTGGTCTCCAACCAGAGCGGACTTCCCGGAGGAGGCCGTACAATCTGAGTGTGGAAGGGGGACCACGCAGCAGGAACCGCACAGTTAGGGCTGGGAACATAACAGTACTTGAAGCAGCCCAGCCCGGAGCATGCACGTGTGGGGTTTTCGTTATCCCCTGCATGCAGGGTCGTCGTGGAAAGGTCCTGAGAAAGCCCTCTCCCCCACCCCCTTCCCTAACACGGATCATCTTTTGAAGGGAACTGGTAAAGTGAACAGAAAATAGCTCAGAAACAGCACGGCGTCCACCCGAAAACTCCCCCTGCCCCCTCCCCTTACACCGTGAAAAAGTAAGGTCGGTTACGGAGTACGGAGGCTGCGCGGCGCACGGGGCGCTAACCTAGCCCCTGGGCACATAGCTGCCCGGCACACAGTGCTCTTGGGGCCCAGCTTCGGGCCACGTTCATGTTTCGCCTGTTGGGGCATATGGTGGCCCCAGTGGCCGTCCCCAGCCCACCAGCCTTTTGCTCCCTGCAGGGAAGGGAAGGTGTCAGGGCCCCAATAAGAGCCCCTTAGTCTTTGAAATCCCCAATTCGGGCCTTTATTTGAGTCCACCTTCAGCAGTCGCCGTGGCTGGAGGAGTCTGGGGATCTGGGGTGGGGGTCGACTCTGATCAGCCGAACGGCAAAACAACAGGGCCCGGGATCCTGGAGGTGCCCCACAAACGGTGCTGCTCTCTGTGGTTTCCAGGAGGCGGCTAACTGCCCAAACTTTGCCCCGGGGGCAGCGTGGGATCCGCCAGCCGTGCGGGCTTGCGGTGCGCACGCGCATCCTTCCGAGGGGGGCGGTGCGGGTCCCGCCCTCTCCTTGCGGTCTGTCCGCGCGCGTGCGCAGGGAGGCCCCCGGTGCCGGCGGAGCGGCGTGCGCGCGGCGGGGCTGCCATGGCCTTGGAGGCGATCCGCTACTCCCGGGGCTCGCTGGAGATCCTCGACCAGCTGCTGCTGCCCCAGCGCAGCCGCTACGAGGCGGTGGGCTCGGTGCGCCAGGCCTGGGAGGCCATCCGCGCCATGAAGGTGGGGCCGCGCGGTCGAGCGACGGGCCAGGGGTGGGAGGGGGGCGGTCCCGCCTGACGCCCCGATCCCCCCTCCCCCCACAGGTGCGCGGCGCCCCAGCCATCGCGCTCGTGGGCTGCCTCAGCCTCGCCGTGGAGCTGCAGGCGGGCGCGGGGGGACCGGGACTCGCCGCCCTGGTGGCTTTCGTGCGCGACGCGCTGAGCTTCCTGGTCACCGCCCGGCCCACCGCTGTCAACCTGGCCCGCGCCGCCAGCCACCTGGCGGACGCCGCAGCCTTGGAGGCCGAGCGCGAGGGCGCCACGGAGGAGGCGGTCCGGGAGAGGTAGGGCGGGTCTTTGTGCCAAGCACTGCTGTGTGTGGAGGCCGTTAGCTCCTTTTTTCGCACAGCGACCCATTTTACGTTTAAGAAAACTGAGGCACGGCCTATCAGTCCAAGGCCACACAAGCAGGACTAAGAGCCCTTGCCGGACAGCTGGGTCGCAAGGTCTTTGCACTCAAGTCTCCCCAGAACATGCCCAGCCCCGTCTGCCTCCAAGGCCCCTTTCGGAGCCACTGCGTTTTCCTAGTTTTTGCTCTTGAGGAATTTTGCTTCCTGGCTTGATCCCTTCCCTGCCCCCTTGTTTCTCCACTCTTCTCTGTTGCAGCCGCTCAGTTACTTTGCATGTTGCTTGACCCCAGCAAGCTTACTCCTGTCTCAGGCCCTTTGCACGCACCATCTCTGCAGATCAGGTATCCACAGAGCTTAGCCTCTATCACGTTTCAGGTTTCTGCCTTCCCCTCCACCCCCCACGCAACACAGCTCATCCCTTGCTCTCTGTCCCCTGACTCTGCCGCCTTCTGCATTGACTGCTCCCACCTCCTCCCCCCCCCCCCCCCCGGGCGAGCTCCACAGGGCAGAGACGTTGGTGCTGTGCTCTCCAGCATACATGACAGACTCGGTAAACGTGCGTCATGTGAGCAAGCAGTGTGACAGGTGGCGGATGCCGAAGAGTGCGGGCCCCACAGCCTGGAGAGGCTTTGAGCAGGAGGGCTTCTACCCCCCAGTGTTGGGCGGGGGGGGGGGCGCTAGCCTGGGCCCCAAGGCCTGGTGGCTGGTGCTGAGCTCCCCGTGTCGGCCCCAGAGTGATCCGCTGCGCTGAGGACATGCTGGAGAAAGACCTCAAAGACAATCGGAGCATCGGGGACCTGGGAGCCCGCCACCTCTTGGAGCGGGTGGCTCCTGGGGGCGGCAAGGTGACCGTGTTGACCCACTGTAACACCGGTGCACTGGCCACTGCTGGCTATGGCACGGCCCTGGGTGAGTGGGCTTCCTTGGGGATGGGGATGGGCCCTTTCAGGATGCCGGAGAAAGAAATCCTGGTCACTTGACCCACCAAACAGATGTGAAGTTATTTTTTTTAAATAAGTTTGACTATTTTTTTAATGTTTATTTTTAAGAGAGACAGAGCAAGGGGGGGAAGGGCAGAGAGAGAAGGACAGAGGATCAGAAGCAGGCTCCATGCTGACAGCAGAGAGCCCAGTGTGGGGCCGTGAGATCATGACCTGAGCCGAAGTCAGATGCTTACCCGACTGAGCCACCCAAGCGTCCTGGTGAAGTTATTCTCCTACAGAAGTGCTTAGGTGGTTGGCTTCAGGTGTGGCTGGATCCAGGCACCGAATAGTGGCATCAGAATTCATCTATCCCCTAAGTTCTGCCCTCCATGGTGGCATCATTCTCATGCTCCACGAGTTAGCAGGGAGGCTGCTAGGGTTCAGACCATGAGGAAAAGAGCCAGGGGTCTCTATGTTGGGGTCCCAGAAAAGTCTTGTATCTCGGGGGCTCTGATGGGGTCACTTGCCTATCCAGGCTCAACCAGTCAATAGGCCCGGGCTGAGCCATGCTGAGAGACTGGGCATGATGTGAACTCTTAAGAGGACTAAGAAGGGAGTGCCCCCCCCCCCAAAACAAAGCTTGGGTAGCTGTGCCCAGGAGAGTGGGGCACAGGTCTTGGGGGGTCAAGATAGGAGATTCCACTTGACCCTGAATTCTCGGAGAGTTGCCCACCTGCCTGGGTCCTGCCCTTGAGCTTGGGGACTGAGGCCTTGGTGACAAGCCACCCCTTTATCCACTCAGTAAACATCAGTTAAGGACCCGAGTGCCCACCATTCCTGTGTACGTGCATTCCTCTATCCACTCAGCGCTTATGAAGCACCTGCCGTGTGCCAGGCACAGTTCTAGGTGCTGGGGCCCCAGCAGTGAAAACTGTAGACAAAAATCTCTGCCCCAAGGAACAGGAAAGTAGGAGGGAGTGACACAAGCCAGTCAGTAAATATATGTGCTGTGTTCAAAGGTGATAAGTATAAAAGAGCGGGGGGCGGGGAGGGGGGCTGTGCAAGATCAAGGAATCCTGGAGGGCCTCCCGGAAAAGGTGTTCTCTAAGCCCACACGTACTGGGCAGAGGAAACTGATCACTGCAGGGGCCTGGGGATGGATGAGACTGGGCCTGGTGAGCCTCTGGTGAGCTGTGCTTCTGACAGCCAACTCTGCCCGCCTGTCACTTTCCGTCTCTCCCTGACCTTCTGGTGGTCTGAGCCCTACAGGCGTGATCCGCTCTCTGCACACCCTGGGCCGCCTGGATCGTGCCTTCTGTACGGAGACCCGGCCATACAACCAGGGAGCCCGGCTGACTGCCTTCGAGCTGATATACGAGCAGATTCCCGCGACACTCATCGCAGACAGCGCGGCAGCGGCGGCCATGGCGCAGCGAGGCGTGTCAGGTCGGCGGCGGGCTCAGCGCCAGTGGGCGGGGCCCCATGCATCCAGGGCCAGGTCGTGACCCCCGCATCTTGCTCCCCAGCTGTCATCGTAGGAGCCGACCGCGTGGTTGCCAACGGTGACACAGCCAACAAGGTGGGCACCTACCAGCTGGCCATCGCCGCCAGGCACCACGGCATCCCCTTCTACGTGGCTGCCCCCAGCTCCTCGTGTGACCTCCATCTGGAGACAGGCAGGGACATCGTCATTGAGGAGCGCCCGGGGCAGGAGCTGACCAACGTCAACGGGGTCAGGGTTGCAGCCCCCGGTAAGCTGTCCTTTGCGGTGGGCACCTCAGCGGCCAGACACGTCCCTGTAGGCACGCTGGCCCCTGTAGGCACACGTTCATGGGGCAGCTGGATTTAGGGTATCATCGCCCTTCTGGGGCACAAGCAGCTCCTTCCACCCATTTCTTGGAACAGGAACATTTTGAAGGTCAGGTTCAAGGTCAGAATGTACAACTAATGAGTTAGAAGACTTAGAGCAAGTTGTCCCGCCATCTTCTCCATCTCGTTTTCCTCCCTTGAAGAAGAAATAAGAATCCTGCCTGGCCCAGTGCCTGTCAAGAGACACAGATGCCCACAGCTTCCCCACCCCAGGAGCAGGATGCCTGCGTTCTCCCATCCCCAGCGTTCACGTCTGTGAGACGAGGTCTGGCTATGACCCGCCTCACAAACCCCAGGGTGTTCAGCGAATTAACCCACGTGACTCGCAGAACCGGTGCCTGACCCTTACCTAGTGCTCATTAGATGTAACGCTTCTGTGGGGCGCCCGGGGGCCTCAGTCGGTGAAGCGTCCGACTTGGGCTCAGGCCACGATCACACAGTTAATGAATTCGAGCCCCATGTCGGGCTCTGTGCTGTCGACTCAGAACCCAGTTTGGATCCTCTGCGCCCCCCACCCCAGCCTGTCCCCCACGTGCACGTGAGTGCATTTGGCTCAGCAAGTATTTTAGGGTTCCGGACCGATGCTAGGCGCTGTGCTCGGTAAGCGCCAGAGACACAGGAGTGAAAGAGTCATAAAGGCCCCTGCGCTCGCGGAGCCAACAATCCAGTGGGGGAGACAGACAACACCACAAGTAACAAAATCACAGCGTGTGTCAGAGGCAGGCAAACTCTGAGGAAGGGCTTGGGGAGTATTGGTGCAGAGAGATTTAGACAGGATGGTTAGAGAGGTCGTTGCTGAGAAGGTGACAGCTGAGCCACGACCTGAAGGAAACGAAACGTGAGTCTTGTGTAGATTGGAGGCAGACAGGACTGCCGGTGAGAGGCTCTCGGGTGGGTTCTGGGAGGTTCTGAATGAGATCTTAGGAGTGGGCAGAAGTGGGCTAGGTGTGCGTAAGACTTCCAAACCTCCTTGGCCAAGGGCAGCAAAGTTGTACTGAGTGCTAAAGCCCACGCCTTCATGCGCCTGTGGAGGGAGTGTCCCTAGTTTCTCGAGGATTCTCGACGTCCAAGAACCACCATGGGGCAAGACACAACAGCTTGAGAGTTTTCACAGCCACACACCTGCCGTCTTGCCTCCTCTTTCTCTCCTGCAGGCATTGAGGTTTGGAATCCCGCCTTTGATGTCACCCCCCACGACCTCATCACCGGCGGCATCATCACAGAGCTGGGGGTCTTTGCTCCTGAGGAGCTCCAGGCAGCCCTGAGCACCCCCGTCTCCTGACAGCGGGCACCCTAGCTGGACCCCAGAAGTAACCACGCTGACTCTCCATTCCCTTAGGTTTTACAATAAACCTACTGATTGAATGGCTCGCCCTGAAACTGACCTTCTCCCAGCCACACCTCTTCCTAGAGCAGGGAGGGCACACGGGACCTTTGTACGGCTCTTAAGAGCCCTGTAACTGGGGACAGGCTGCCCAAGTTCAAAACCCAGCTCAGCCACTTTCTCAGCTGAGCCCCTTCACCTCTTTGTGCCTTGGTGTTCCCATTTATAAAATGGGAACGATACTTGTACTGCCTTCTGGCTTCAGGGCCAGAACTAGGGTGGTGCCTCGGGTGCAGAATTTTGAAGGGAACAGCTCAGTGATCAAAGAATAGCTTCATGCACAACTTGACCTTACCTCACCCCTGATGCCCTCATTCCAAGAAAATCTTGCTTGCAATCTAAGGCACCTGGTCTGCAGGCTGTAGTTTGAGGATTTTATGATATTAAAATTTTATGTTTAGAGGCGCCTCGGTGGCTCAGTCAATTAAGAGTCCGACTCTTGATTTCAGCTCAGGGCAGTGTGGAGCCTCCTTGGGATTCTCCCTCCCTCCCTCTCTCTCTCTGCCCCTCCCCAGCGCTCTCTAAATGAATAAATAAATACCCAACCAAAAAAAATTGTGTTTAAATGTTGAAACTATATTGATCCCTGAGTTTTAGGCACCTGAGTGTGTCACTCACTTCACCCTAGCCCTAGACTAAATTTGATGTACAAAGAGCGTAAGACTAAGTTCTACAAAACAAACGAGCGCTCAGCAAGTGTTAGCTGATCGTTATAACCTCTCCTTGGAAAGTTTTGCAAAGCGCTGCCTATGAGCTGCGTCTGTGGGCGTCTCTGTTTAATGCCTTGCCACGCTGTGTCCCGTGATCCTTTGCGCCCCCACCCCGGCCCCACTGTATCCCATCGTGCGTAGCGCCTTCCGGCTGTTTTCTCCAGCCCCGCCTTTTCCGGTACCTGCCGTATCATGGCGCAGGGACAGCGCAAGTTCCAGGCACGGAAGCCGGGGAAGAGCAAGACCGCGGCGGCGGCCTCCGAGCGGACTCGAGGCCCGAGGAAGGGTGGTGAGGAGCTGTTTAGGGGTATGGGGGTGGCGAGGTGGACCCGGGGCTCCCCAGCCTCACACGAGTGAGTCCTTTCCCAGGTCGTGTTATCGCCCCCAAGAAGGCGCGCATCGTGCTGCAGCGAAAGCTCAAGAAGGTGAGTGGGGGCGTGTGGGAGGAGCCCGGAGGCGGGCGAGGGGCGGAGGATGGAGCCTGGAGAACTCAGCTCTCTTAAGTATCCGTTTCGACCCCTGTGCCGTGGGTACCGGAACATCACACATCGTTCACCGGACCCCGTAGAAGCAAGGCCGGACTTGCAGGAAATGTTAAACGCACGATAGCTGCTCTCACTGTTCTCGTCCTTTAATAGAACTTGGGGGGGGGGGGGTGTGCAGATGGCATGGGAAAGTAGAAACCCCAGCTTCGAAGGAAGGCAGTGCGAGTGCGATCACCCTGAGTCTCTTTACCTGACAAATGGTCACAGCGAGTTCACCGTTCTTCTAGAGTTGTAAGGATTTAATGCCATGGGCCACTTGTTAAGCCCTGAAAACACAGGTAAACGTTAACGGCGTTGGTTGTCATTTTTGTGGTTGTGTTTAAACGCAGCTGCTTTATGTAGGTGGGTAGGGTTCAGCTTATAAAAGAGTTAAAGAGATTTAAAACTGGTTTTCCTGGAGTCAGTTGAATTCTACTCCCCTTGAGCAAATTGTTTCGTTTCCCCAGAGCCTTGGTCTTCTGAGCCCTGGGTACCCCGGGGGCCTGCTTACCTCCTTCTGGCAGCTGGAGGCCGGCTGTCACATGAGCATCAGTCTCCGCAAATCCAAAACCAAACTCCTGATTCTCTCTCCCTCCCAGACATGACCTGCCACCGTTGCGGTTCAGGAAGCTTCTGTCCTTGAGATACTTGGGATCATAGGTGTTTCCCCCCTTCTCTCACATTTGGGTCTGATCCCATCCTTTTTGCTTTTAGTATTAATCTAGAATTCACCCACTTCCCATCTCCCTGAACCCCCCCCCTTCCCACCCCCATAAACTACCTCCTGGACCAGTGCAGTCGCCTCCTCCCAGACCTCCTCCCTCCCTCTCCCCTCACAGCAGCCAGAGGGCGCCAGTGAGCACCCAAGTCTGGGTGCCCCCCTCCCCTCCCCCCTAGCGCCTTCAGTGTCTCCCACCTCACCCCAAGGAAAGCTCGAGTCCTCTGTGTGGCCCACAGGGCCCTGCATGATGGGCCTTTTCACCTCCCTGCACTCATCTCCCACTCTCCCCCTTGCTCACTGGCCCCTTAACAGCTCCTTACTGCACCCCAGCACTTTTGCGCTGGCTTTTCCTGTGGGATTCTCCCAGAAATCCCCACGGCTCCCTTCCTCAGTCTGGTCTGACCGCGAGCAGTACTTGTCTGACCCTGACAACAGCCCCCGCCCCTCGCTTGTCCCTTTTTCCTTCCATAGCAGCAGTGACTTACCGTCACTTTCACCCCGTGGGTCGTGGGTGCGTACATTGTCTCCCTACACAGGCTGAGGGTCAGCTCCCTGAGGGCAGAGGTTTTTCTGTGTCTTGTTTGCCGTTCTGTCCCCTGCACCTATGTATGTGACAGTCATGGGGGTCATGGTCACTGGAACTCGCAGGCAGGACAGGGCGGCTCAGGAGATACGATTAAACGGCCAGTTTTGGACCCAAACCCCCTGTGCCTTTGGTTTTTGACATCTCTGTGGCTCAGAGCCCCCGGTCACCGTCTGCCCAGTGGAGATGACGTGTGACAGGAGGGGACTGCTGTGGAAGCTGGGACCAGAGGCCCTGGGTGTGCCGGGCCCCCGTCCCCCATCGTTCACCTGTTTTGGGGAACCCGGGGCAAGTTCCTCCATGTTGCAGGAACCTGTCTCCCCATCTGTAAAATGGGGACAAGCAGAGGCTTAGAAGCTGAGGCCCAGAGATGAGAACAGGATTTTTGGTGCTGTTTCGGGGGAAGCTGCTCGGCTAGCCTCACTGCCCTGTGGCTGCCCCCTCAGGACCTGGAGGTCGGGATCCGGAAGAAGATCGAGCATGACGTGGTGATGAAAGCCAGCACCAGCCTGCCCAAGAAGCTGACGCTGCTGAAGGCCCCCGCCAAGAAGGAGGCGCCCTCTTCCTCCGCCACCGGGACGCCTTCCTAAGGACGGCAGCCTCCGTGCTCAGATCCATGCAGGTGACCCCGCAGGCGGCCCCGCAAGGAGGGGCCGAGCAGTCACACGCGCCTCAGGCTTCACTGGGGGCCTAGCCCGGGCTAGGTGATCAGAGGCTCTGAAATGCACTGGTCAGACTCCCGGGGCCCCCAGAGCTCCAGAAGGGGAGGAAATGTCCACCGATTCTGTGTCCTCCGCCCCCGCCTCGGGTCTTACCTCCACTGGTTTAACCCAGAGCAATAAACCTGACTGTCCTTTCTCCTGCACGCCATTCATGTGCTCCTGTGAGCAGGCCATTGCTGGGGCCGGCGACTCGGTGCCCCACCCAGGTCAGCCCCGGCGGTTCCCACGAGAGAGCAGCCGCGTGCCAGGGAGGGACGTGCCCGGGAGGGACGGGTAGGCTTCTGCACCTTCAGCCCAGGAGACGAAGGAGAGGGTTTTGTCCCTCCCACCCTGGGTGATTCGCACCAATTTCGGTGCCTACCTGCATACCCCCCACAGGCACGCCCAGGTCACAGACCAGCCAGGCCTCCGAGGGAGCGGCTTTCCCACTGGAGTGACAGATGGTGACACCGCCCGGTAGGGTCTCCGTGCCAGTTAAGCCAGAATGCACTTGTCAGCTGTTCAAGGTCACCTTGATCTGTAAAGTCCTAAGGGCTTGTGTTTACATAGTACTGCCGCGGTCTAGGCGCCGTTCCAGTGCTTTCTGTGCCAGCTCAGCCCCCACGATGCCCGGGTCAGCTCATGTCAGTGTTACCGAGCAGGGGTTTGCACGACACCAGCAGGGTCCCCGTCCCCGCCGCGCCTCTCCTTCGGTCATTGTTTGCGGTGCTGCTGGACCAACAGCGCCCATGAGTCAGCAGAGAATCGGACAGCCGGCCTTCCAACCGCGCCGCAGGGGTGTGGGGGGCAGGTCACAGCTGATGAGCGAGGCTGAGGTCCAGGTGACACTGAGCTCCTGTGGGCGCCGTCAGCTGCACGTGTCCTTTCCCGGCCAGCCTCACCCACCCCTGGCAGCGTCTCTTGGTTCGTTGGTGGTCAGACGTTTCTAGACTACTTGAAATTGTTCTGCAAGGTCAGGGGCGGCCACTGTGGAGGGCAGTTTGGTGGCCACTTGCGCTGGGACTTCGGCATAGAATTACCACACGACCCGGCCGGGACGCGGATGTTACCATGACAGTCGCCGGAAGGTAGAAACGACCCAGGTACCCCCAGCAGACTGAGCACGAAAGGCGCGTCTACACTGTGGAGTCGCGCCCCCCCCCCCCCAGATGAACCTCCACCAGCCCCGGGAGGGGTCCGCTGTGAGGGGCCTGGCGCTGATGGGCTCCTTTGTGTGAGGGGCGCTAGCGGGCAAACCCCAGGGAACCAGGAAGCAGGAACCAGGGAAGCAGATGAGTGGCGGGGGGGGGGGGGGGGGGGGGGGGGGGGGGGGGGGGGGGGGGCGGCCTTTGGACGCTGGGGTCGTGTGTGCGTGTGTCCTGCAGAACAGAGGTTTGCAAGTAGAGCAGCGGCTGCAAAACCCTGTGAAAGTTTGACGCCCCTGGGCTGTGAGCCTGGTTTTTAAAGTTTATTTTGAGAGAGAGAAAATCCCAAGCAGGCTCTGCGCTGCCAGCACAGAGCCCGACACAGCATGATCGTGAGATCGTGATCTGGGCCAAAACCAAGAGCCACCCAGGTGCCCCAAGCATCCAACTCTTGATCTCAGCTCCGGTTGTGATCCGAGGGTCGTGAGTTCAAGCCCCACCAGGGGCATGAAGCCTACTTAAAAAAAAGAAAGAAAAAATTGGGACTTGTGGCAAGGGGACCCCAGTGAGGGGGCCGGAGGATGGAGGCCAGGGCTCGCCCCACCTGAGGCCCCACTCAGGCAACCCGGGCGCCCCGCCACCCGCCCACAGGACCGCAGCTTATCCCCTAAGCGGGCAGCGGGCAGCTGTTGCCTTTCCAGGCTGGGCATTTGTTGTATACCTGCTGCATGCCCCGCGCGGCTAGGTAGAGCTGAGAACTGGTATTCTAGTGGAGAACCGAAAACAAAGGAACCTCAGGCTGCCCCCTCCAAACCCCCGCCTCCCGCTGCGGTTCCCTCCCCTTCCCGGATGCCGGCTCGCGGCGCCTCCCTCTGCCCTCCCGCACCTCCGCCCCCAGGAGTGGTCACTGCACCGCTCCTGACTGTTCTCCTTTGCTGCTTTGTTCGCTGCTGTGTCTCCCAGCACCCAGGACGGTGCACAGCAGGTGCTCATTGAAGGGAGGAAGTCTTGTAGTGTTTCTTTTTTTCTTTTGTCCTTTTGCAAGGAAAATTCTGCATTTTAATGAATCAGTTCTGATTATTCAGTGCATCGGCTCCCTACAACACACCCTTCCGGGTTAATCTGATTCATAGCATTGTCTTTGAACTCTGGGCTCTGTGAATTGTAAGCAATTGATAGCAATATAAAACCACTCTTATCTGTAGACGTGCAAATTCCATCCGGTCTCCACCAGAGGTTCCTTTGACAACCCCCCCCCCCCCCCCGTGGAAAAAACAATCTGCCCCCATCTGCACATGGATTTGCGCAAACAGCCTGATACGCAAAGTGCCGGTTCTCCAGACTGTACCCCGTAGACCATCTGCCGGTTCCCACACGAGCTCAATAAAAATTTTAACACGTGTCCATCTTTATATGACTGAGAGTCCTGATTTCTTCCTCTTGAAAATCTCTCGATTAACCCTTATCGGGAATCTTGGAAGGGCAAGGACTGGGAGAAGGTGGGCCCCAAGTGCCGTCTGGCGCCTTCCTCAGCCACCAGGAGGCACCGTGAACCCGGGCGGGCAGGCCGGGGACTCCCTAAACCTGCTCCCTTTGTCCCTCTGACACCAGCCCTTCGGAGGAGGACCCCAGGCATGAATGCCCAGGAACAGGCATTCAGGCGCATCAGGTATGAGGTCTGGAATGTCAACCCACTTGTTCCCCCTTCACTCCACCCCCTCCGCCTCCCCAAACAGCCTCACTGCCGGCGGCGCATGGCTTTTCCCTCCCTGCCCGCGGAAGCCACCCCACCCCACCCCCGCTGGTGCTGAAGGAAGCCAAGAGTTCGGGGCCAGTTTCTGCCACCTCCTGGCTGTGTGACCTCGAGAGAGTCCTGTCACCTCTCTGAGCCTCCATTTGCCCATCTGTTCAATGGGGGATCTCAACACCCCTCCTTCGAGAATTCTGGAGCCTGAGGGTGGTGAGAACCTTTCTCGAAGACACCCGCCCTCTCCTACTTCCACCACCCCCTCGCCTGAATGCCCGTCTCTCCTGGCAGCCCCGCCACTCGGCCCGCGAACCTGTGTTCCAAGAGGGAAGAAAAGAAACGTAAGAAGTAAATCTTGCTAGTTGGGCAGGCCGGAGGGGCTGCATCAGAACCAGGAAGTGAAACCGCTCCGGCTGGTTTCCTGCCTGAGTCAACAAGGGCATGGGTTTGTGCAGGGGGCTGGCAGAAGGGAGGGACCCTGGAAAAGTTGGGGCGGGGTGGCCTCAGAGCTGGGGGCCCCTTATACCCCTTCGTCTGAGCCTCCAGGGCCACCTCTTTCCCACGGGTCTCAAAGACATGTGGGTTTGGGGTCAGGAGCTGTGGATGCCTAGACAGTGAGCTCACAGCGGCCTGGCGGGAGAAACGTGGCTTCCATTTCTCTGAAGCCCAAGCTCCTGGCCGCATGGAGCAGGGAGGACGCGTGGACGGCTGGAACCAGCTCCAGCCTCTCCTACAAGCGTTGCTGGGAGGAGACGACCAGGCCAAGAGATTCCTGGGGGCCCTTTCTGACCTCATAGTCTCCAGAGATCACTGTGTGGCCTCGGGTAACTTTCTGACCTTCTCTGGGCCTCATTCCCCTGTAAAATCAGGGAAATGGAATTGAATGTTGGTGCTTCCCAAACTCTGTGCATTTGATCCCCAGCCAGTGTGACAGAATCACCCACAGGGGACCCTCACCTTTCCCCAATGGGGACCTTGCGCAAGTCACCTGACCTTTCAGTGCCTGTTTTCTCATCCATGAGGGGGGGGATGACGACAGTGTACCTGCTGTCAGGGAGTAAAATAACACATCCTCACTCTGCTAACGTATTCTCCATTCCTCCTATGGTTAGCCCGGAGGGCAGCCCACGGGGACGTCTCTGATTCGACATCTCAGGACACCCACCGAAGCGGAAGCGTCCTCAGGGACAGGGATCTGGGCTTAGTTAGCTGACACAGCCACGCACCAGTTGCCAAAGAGGATCACCAGCAAGAGTGGCCCCCAGGTCCTGCTGGCGAGGGGAACCCCTGAAGCCCTCCTCACCCTCCCACAGCCCAGTTTTCCAACCCCCTTCCGTCCATCGTTGCCTCAGCTTTTCTGGCAATAAGCCTAGGGCTTCCCTGTCTGGGTAACTTCGGGCAAGCACTTCCCTCTCCAAGCCTCAGTTTCCTCATCTGAGAAATGGAGCCAACGAGCCCCACTTTGCAGCACTGTTGGCAGGCTCAAGCGTGATAATATGCTAGGGGCGCCTGGGTGGCTCAGTCAGTTAAGCATCCAACTCTTGATTTCGGCTCAGGTCATGATCTCACAGTTAGTGAGTTCGAGCCCCGCATCAGACTCCATGCTGTGTGGAGCCTGCTTGGGGTTCTCTCTCTCTGCTCCTCCCCAGCTTGTGCTTTCTCTGTCTCTTTCAAAATAAACAAACAAACAAACAAAAAGGTGATAATATGCCGAAACAGCAAGAGCACTGCCTAAGCAATCAGTACATGATTATCCACACTGTTTCTGTTGCTGTTACTGTGTGTGCAAGTTATGGTTTCTCCAGGCCACTGCTGTCCAATAGAAGTTAGCCATGCGAGTCGCCTCTGTAACCTCAAATGTCCTGATACCAAATAAAATATAAACAAACAAAAGGAAACAGGTGGAATTAATTTGAATAATGTATTTTCTTTAACCCAAACTTACCTAAAATATTCTCATTTCAACACATCAATATAAATAACGCTTACTGAGATATTTTGCCCTTTTTTACTTTTTCCTAGTAAGTCCTTGAAATCCGTTGTGTTACATGCACAGCATCCCCCAGTTCCGCTCGGTCCCATTTCAAGGGCTCAATGGACACTTGTGGCCAGTGGTGACCCTAGTGGGCAGCACAGGTCCGAAAGAGAGTTTACTGAACGGTGGATTGGGCACTGGCCAGAAAGCACAGCTGGAAATTCCTGGAAGGAAAAAGCCAGTTTCCCTATGGGGTGAGAGACTGGGGACAGCAATCAGGCCATTTAAGGGCCAGCCTCGGTTTTTCCTGCTTTATAGGTATTTCAGCGAAACGGGAACAATTTGAGTGGCTTGGTCAATAAGGCACAGACTGCTGTACGCCGGCTGCTGTCCGGGTGCTAGCGGTGAAGCAGTGCACCACTTACACAACCTACCGCCACTCAGGGTCTCAGTGGAGAGGAAAGAGACAGAAATTAAACAGCTGCTAAAATAGATAAAGAAATGTAATGATAATGGCGAAAAGTGTGGCGAAGGGGAAATGTCGGGTTTTCTAAGGACAGGGGAGAGGAAGGATGGCGTGGGCAGCGGGGGAGGTTGGGGGGGGCGTGGCCGGCGATCAAGACCAAGGGCGGCTTCCGTGCAAGAGAGGGTGGCCAGGACAAAATGGGACGGAAAAACAATTAGAGGTGATCGGATTCGACCAGTATTAGTTATCTTACGACATTGCCATTTTACTAGGTCAAAAATGGTCGAAAATCAGCAACTGGATAGGACTCAACGTAATGTTCAGGGCATCGAATGGACTAGGGGTTCCTGTCTTGGGGCTTGAGTTGGCTCTATTTCTAGAGAGGAGGTCTGCAGTCCGCATGAGCTCCACCAAGGAGCCTGTGATTCGCCCTCACCCTCTGGCCCGCAAACATCAAAACTTGACTCCGCGCCCAGAGATGCTGAGAGAGTTTCTCGCATCACACAGCCCAGAGGGAGGAGGGGCCGAGCTGCTGCCCTGGAATCCCGCCGCTCAGTCTCGCTCCCTGGCCGAGCCTTGTTGATTGTCCCCTTGCAGAGCCCGGAAGCGACCCTCAGTAAACAAAGCCGTGTGTGGGCGCAGCCCCAGCTGCCCGGGGCGCGCTGTCCAGCCGGAGGGGGGCGGGAGAGGAATGTTGTGAATGAACCCAGGACCCGCCCCGAAACTCCTCGCACGGCCTGCGCCGCGGGGGTCCTCCCACTGCGATTGGCCGCGGGCGCCCCGTGATTGACAGCACAGCCTAATGAGCGCTCTGATTGGGCTTTCCCGAAAAGACAGGCAGCACAAGCAACGAATGAACAGCGAGAATGTAGTGACGGGTCTGGAGGCGCAGCCAATGGTGAAGGAGGGCCTCGGAGGCCGAGGGGGGGCCCAATGGGGACGGACGGCGGGGGCGGGACGACGGCGAAGGATAAAGCGGCGACTGAGGCAGCTTCATTGTTGTGAAGAGTCTTAAAGGGGCCGCATCACCCGGCCGGCCCGGCGCGGGGCGGGGGGTGGGTGCGGCTGGGGTCCCGGGGCGGCCGAGCGCGGAAGACGAACTGGAAGGCGGGTAGGGGGCGCGGGAGCCGGCGAAGCAAAGCGGGCATCGGACCGACCCCCCCAACAGGCCCCGCCCCGGCCCCGGTCCGGCCGATGGACCCCCCTGCGGCCAAGCGGAGCCGGGGCTGCCCGGTGGGACCGGAGGAGCGCGATGCCGGGGCCGGGGCCGTGCGCGGCCGGGGCCGGCCCGAGGCGCTGCTGGACCTCAGCGCCAAGCGAGTAGCCGAGAGCTGGGCCTTCGAGCAGGTGACGGGGGCGGGGGGAGGGGAGGGACGCACCCCCAGCCCCTTCTCCGACTTGCCTTCTCCTCCCCTTGCCCAACCCCCAGCCTCGGGACCGGCCCCCACACGAGACACTCCCAGAGAGAGATCCCCTTCAGGATCCTTAAGTCCGCCCCGAAACACCCCTCATCCTCCCATTTCACTTCTGAAAGCCCTGTGACCCGCCCCCATTCCTTTTTCCCCAGCTGCCCTCCAGCCCCCAAGAACGGGGATGCCCTCAGCACCCTAGATGCCGGCTCCGGACACTTCCTTCTCCTCCCGCTCCGTGATTCCTCTTTTCCCACCTCATCCTCAGCACCCCATTCAATCTTCATTCCTCTTTCCAACTCCTACAAGCCGCCCCCACTTGCGGGACACCCCAGATCTCATCTCCTAGAGATTCTAGATCTCTGCCCCACGCCTCCAGTGGAATACCCACCCCCCATTTCTACAGATCCCAACCTCAAGATACTCCTTTCTGTCTCTGATCCGTGTCTCCAGAACCCACCTGTCTCCTGGGGACCCCCCCTCCCCCTCCAGATCCTTCCCTGGGGTCCTGCCCCCCCCCCCGAGACCACCTTCCACCTGGGGCTGCCCAGCCCCTCCGGTGTGGGGATACCCTCCCACATTCCCCCTGTTCCCCCAGGGCTCGCCCTCCCTCTGCCCCCACCCCACGCCCCCAGCCATCCCAGTCTTTCCAGGGGTCGGCAGCCAGGGCGGAGCCTGGGTCACAGGACGGCGACAGGTGCACTCGGAGCCCTACCTCTGTAGTTACTGGGGGCTCTGTCACGATGTCCCAGGGCTGGGGCGGTTAGAGTCCCCTTTTCCAGCCTCAGAGTGCGCCTCTGGGTAGTGGAGAAGTGGCCCGGATCCCACCAAGCCTCTGCAGGCCCCCACAGGCTCTGTACTCTGTCTGGCTTTGGGGGAGGGGGGGAGGGGGGAGGGGTGTTCTTTGCTCCCTGGCCTGTCCAAAGTGAGGAAGTCTGCAGGGACTCACGAGTCCGGGCCAAGTGTGGATGGGAAGGCTCTGATTCACGGCCTGGAAAATCCCTCCTTAGTCATCTGCCAAACTGTCCCCAAGGCCTGAGCCAGTCACTGGCCCTCTCACTTCCCCCAGAAACCCAGGACCAGGGGCTCTGGGAGGCTGCCACCCCTCACAATCCTAAAACCATGTCCGGGTCTCCCACGTACCTGCCCTGGGCAGGCCTGGTGCTAGGAAAACTCCTTCTCATGGAATCCTCTGCAGCCCTCTGGGAGTTGGCCGTTCTCCCTCCCACTTTGAGGAAACTGGAGCACAGAGAGGTTGAGAAACTTGCCCAAGGTCACTCAGCCCGTGAGTAGGCTCCATCAGCTTTGTTCACTGCCCAGAGCCCACAGCGGGTGGCGAGGACACCCCTCCCTTCCTGTGGGCCCTTTGGAAGCTGAGAACAGAGCCTGTTCCTGGAGCTGGAGGTCGCCAGCTGTGACACGGAACCGGTGAATTTACCCCACTTCTGGGCCTCAGGGTCTCCAGGCTGCAAAATGGGGTGATCACTAGTATCATTGAGATGTTGCTATGGAAATTATAGGAAATCACATACATAAAGCATTTAGCACAGTGTAGGCTGAGAATATGGAGACCTCATCACTATACTTATCACTTTTGTCTCCCTTTCTCCTGCCCCTTCAAAGCCTGGGAGGTGGGTCTACGTTACAGCAGGAGCCTGGGACGAGGCAACCAGGAGGGAAGTCACACAAAGTTCTGGAACCCTAAGTACAGGCCAGGAGTTACTGTCAACACAGAGACATATAGAAATGCATATTTAATCCTCACGATACCCAGGAGGCCAGTGCTGTTAACATCCCCACCTCACAAGCACAGAAAGGCAAGGTGACTTGCCCAAAGTCACACTGCTCCTAAGTGGCAAATGCCAGGGTCCAAGCCGGGGTTTCTAACCCACCGGCCCTTCCCGCAGGTTGAGGAGCGGTTCTCCCGGGTGCCAGAGCCGGTCCAGAAGCGCATTGTGTTCTGGTCATTCCCACGCAGCGAACGGGAGATATGTATGTACTCGTCGCTGGGCTACCAGCCCCCAGAGGGCGAGCATGATGCCCGTGTGCCCTTCACCCGCGGGCTGCACCTGCTGCAGAGTGGGGCCGTAGACCGAGTGCTGCAAGTGGGTGAGTGCCGGCCCCCACCCCTGCTGGGGAGGTCAGGAGGCCCTGAGCAGGCGTGGGGGAGGAGGAGGGAGTGGAGGGGGGCCTGGGCCAGGGCGAGGGGAGGTTCCAGATGTCTGGCTTCTGTACCCAGGGAGGGTTATGCAAGAAATTATGAGCTAAGGATCAGAGGTCTCCCTAGACCTCAGGCAGCAGGCTTAGATGCAGCTGGGAGGAAGGTTGGTAAACCAGAAATCAGGGGAAGAGAGGCCCCAGAACTTAGGCAGCGGGCACCAGTTAAGGGTTGAGGGCTGAGGCTATTTCTAGACCCTAGGGGGAGGGCTGCTATGGGTATCGAGGCAGAGGTTGAGACAGGGTGAGGAGTAGCCCTAGACCTCAGGCTTCAAGTCCAGTTGGGGTTGGGTACAGGATTCTGAGCTAAAGGCAAAGGTGGTCCTAGAGTTCTTGGCCACGATGCTCCTGAGGCAGCATCGAAGGGAGCAATTGGAAACCAGAAGGAGAGGAAGTGTCAGACCTTAGGCAGAGGGTACTGATGCTTTGGGGCCAAGGTTTAGAGCCAGAGGTAAGAATGATCCTGGAGCTCAGGACGCAGGGGCTTGGCGGGGATTGGAGGCAGAGATCGAGAGCCAGAGGTGAGAGGGAGCCTTGGACCTCAGGCAGAGGGACTCTTCTGTTTGCATCAGAGGCCTAGTGGCAGTCTCAGACCTAAGGCAACGAGCCTTAGGTGGGAGCCTAGAGTAGAAGCTTGAGATCCGCTGTGAGGGGTGGTCTTAGGCCTCAGGCCGTGGGGTCCAGGTGAGGGTAGGGGGCAGAGATTTACAAATAGAGGTGAAAGATGATTCTACACCTCAGGCAGTGGGGCTCAGAGGCAGACAAGTAGAGGGTGTGCCAGAAAGCAGGGAAGTTCCATGCGGGAACACCACGTCTTCTGACCCGAGGCAGGGGCTTGGCCAAGATGGTGCCTGTCAGCCGGGAGGTCCCCTGCCTGGACATGACCCAGGCCACCGCAGGCCAGACCATCTCCAGCCGGTATGAGGAAGCCACTGTTTTGCTGCCACCGTCTCTCTGCATGACGCAGCCAGGACCGGCTGGGGCCCGAGCTGCCCAACCAGTTGGATAAGGCTGGCATCTGCGTTCCCCAGGGGCCAGGGAGGGGCAGGAGGTGACAGACGACCCAGGCCCTCACCTGCCACATTGGCCCCTCACCCCCAAGTGTCATGGGCCGTGGCATCTCCCCAGGAAGTTACAGGGCCCCCTGCGCCCAGGCCGTATCCACGGTAACCCAAGGGCTGAGAAAACCTCCTTCGACGTCATCATTATCATAGTCTTCAGAAGGAGACCGGAAGCCAGCATTTATTTAGGACTTTGCCTACAGTGAGTGTTCTAAGCACTTATCAAATATTAACTCCTTTCATCCTCATTACAAAGGCATGAGGAAGATGTCCCCAGTCATTCCCATTTGACAGATGAGGAAGCGCAAGGCACAGAGAGGTTAAGGGGCTTGCGCTAGGTTACTCCGCTGGGATGTGCCCCGCGGACGAGCATCCCAGCCTCCCGGGTGGCACAGCGGAAGCTTGGTTGGCTTCGGTCTTAGGGTTCCACCTGAGCGGCAACATCCGCGAGCCGGGGGGTCCCGGAGAGCCCGAGCGCCTCTACCACGTCTCCATCAGCTTTGACCGCTGCAAGATCACGTCTGTGAGCTGCGGCTGTGACAACCGGGACCTCTTCTACTGCGCCCACGTGGTGGCCCTGTCGCTCTACCGAATCCGGCACGCCCGCCAGGTGGAGCTGCGGCTGCCCATCTCCGAGACGCTGTCCCAGATGAACCGAGACCAGCTGCAAAAGTTCGTGCAGTACCTCATCAGCGCCCACCACACGGAGGTGCTGCCCACCGCCCAGCGCCTGGCTGATGAGATCCTCCTGCTGGGCTCCGAGATCAACCTGGTGCACGGTGAGGGCCCCCTCCCCCCGGGCCCGATGGGGGCGTCGCGGCCCCAGCTCGCAGCCCCCTCGGTGGCCTCGAGACAGGCATTTGCCATGGAATCCTAAGGTCCCCTCCATCCTTGAGTGGGGCTGGGGAGAGCGCCATGGCCTGAAGTCAGGGTCACACCAAGTCAAGAGCAGATCCTGGATCTGACCTGGGCCTGGGCAGATGAATGAATGGTTGGCAATCAACCATTGGGGAGATTCAGCCCCGGGGGGCGCCAAGATCACAGGAACAGGCCTGAGTGTGGGTAGGTGGAGGGCAGGAAGGGTATGTGGACTCTGGTGGTGTCCGGTGGGGTACGGATGAGAGACACGCTAGGAGGCGTCGTGAGCCCCGAGAGGATGGGGAGGGGAGGGAGATGGATAATTGGGGACAGCGGTGGGTGGATGGTGGGGTGTTAGGGTGAGCGGATGGAGGATGGTAGGTGAATGGGGAGTTGGTGGTATTGACGCCATTGTTGGGGGGGCATGGGCTTTGATTAGGATCAAAGTAGACCGATGGTGGTGGACAGATGGGAGTTGGTGGAAGACTAGAAAGAAACGGCGGCCTCACTTTCGCTCCGTCCCCGCAGGTGCCCCAGACCCCACGGCGGGCGCAGGCATCGAGGATGCCAACTGCTGGCACCTGGACGAGGAGCAGATCCAGGAGCAGGTGAAGCAGCTGCTGTCCAATGGCGGCTACTACGGCGCCAGCCAGCAGCTGCGCTCCATGTTCTGCAAGGTGCTGCGCAGGCGCGGCGGCGACGGCGGGCAGGGGACTGGGAGGGGCCGCCACCTGCGCCCCGCCCCCTCCTCACCACCCCGCCCCCACCCCCATCCCGGCACAGGTGCGGGAGATGCTGCGCATGCGGGACTCCAACGGGGCGCGCATGCTGATCCTCATGACCGAGCAGTTCCTGCAAGACCCGCGCCTGGCCCTGTGGCGGCAGCAGGGCGCGGGCATGACCGACAAGTGCCGGCAGCTTTGGGATGAGCTGGGTAAGGGCTGTCCCCAGGCGATGCGCCGGACCGCGGGGCCTGCCCACCCTCACATTAGGGGCTGGCCGCTGGATCCTTTCTCTGCCCATCAGCCAGCCCCTCTGATGTAGGAGGCCCTGTATTGGGTACCGCAGAAAACCAAGATTAAAAACCTGCCCTCATGGACCTGACACTAAATCCTATAAAATCCTACAAACCCATTCGATCATACCTTTTCCGTAAGGGCGGCAGTCTGCGGCTTTGGCCATGTGGGCCTTTGGCCTCTGTCACAGCTTCTCGTTTTGCCCATCGTAGCGCAAAAGCAGCCACCGACCTCTCGCCAGATGGGCCGCATCCCAGTACAATTTTGTTTACAGACACTATGTATGTGAATTTCATGTAATTTTCACAAGTCTCAAAATCTTCTGATTTATCCTCCCGGCACCATTTGGAAACTTACTAAAAATGCATCGTAGCTTGCCGGCCATCCATACCAGGTGGCAGGTTCGATCTTGTCCACTGGCAGTAGTTTGCTGACCCCTATAAACAGATGGCGATCAGCCCTATCCGGGTAAAAAAAAACAGCAAGAGGAGGAGTCTTTGGATCCAGCCCTGACTTCTGCCGTCCCAGCTGTGTGACCTTGAGCAAATGCTTTTACCCCTCTGTGCTGTAAAGCGAAGAGACTATCAATTGCAACCTCAGAGACTGGAGGCACACCGCAAGGTGGTGCTGCTGCTGTTGGTGTGAACGCTGCGCCTCCCTCATGCCCACGTTCACCGCCCTCTCGCCCTCCCCAGGGGCCCTGTGGGTGTGTGTCGTCCTGAGCCCCCACTGCAAACCAGAGGAGCGGGGGAGCTGGCTGCAGCTGCTTGGCAAGTGGGACAAGCTGGATGTGTGCCCGCTGGAGGAGGGCAACTACTCTTTTGACGAGCCCAGCCTGCAGCCCACCACGACCCTCAGCCAAGGTAGGAAAGGGGTCCCTGCCGTCCCCCCCAAAAAAAACTGGCCTGTGGCCCCGCCTCCCCATCACGATGCTCTGGGGGCGAGCAGAGGGGCCTCCAGCCCTTGCCAGCAGGTGGGAGGGAGTGCCCAGGCAGGGGCTGTAGGGGGCTTGAGGCACAGGAAGTGAAAGGCTTAAGACGCCTGTAGTTCTGGGCTGTTCTCCTGACCAGGCCTCCTCTTGGCCATGGAGATGGAGGCATGGGGGCAGAGAGAAAAGGAAAAAGATCTTGAGAAGAGAGAGACCAGTAGAGAGAGACAAGATGGAGGGAGAGAGGGCGGAGAGGAGAAAGTGAGGAATGGGGGTGGGGGCAGGATGGACAGAGAGACCTATGGACAGTTAGCCAACCTCCATTGTCCATTGACGTGAAGAGCTGCTGTAAGGGTTTGGCAGATGACATATACCCATCAGTGTGCCCAGAGTCTAGTCCCAAGCTGGTACCCCGTCAGGGGAGCTGCCAGGGCCCCCTTCCCAGGCCACATTGGACACCTTTCCCACAGGCCCAGAGGAGGAGGAAGAGGACGTGGTGGCTTCAGGTTCCCGCCACACGGTCTTCGGCCGTGCCCTGCAGGCCGGGTCGCTGCACTGGAGCGACCCCCACCTGCAGAGGATCCTGGCCAGCGACTCCTATGGCCCCAGCCTCACAGGCACCCTGGGCAGTGAAAAGCCCACCTTTGACCCCCAGGGCCGTCCGCTGTGGCTGGGCGAGCCCTTCCCCACCGCCTGTGCCCGTGTGGACACCCTGCGTGCCCACGGATACCCCCGTCAGGCCCTGAGGCTGGCAGGGGCCATAGTCAACACACTCCGGCTGCAGCGGCGGCATCAGCTGGAAAGCTACAAGCAGCAGAAAAAAGGTGGGTGCCACGACCATCATACCACCCTGGGCCTCTAGACACAAATGCCCACCCTGGGTACCGCGGCAGCTCCTGACATCTGTGGGTTCCACTCGGAGTCCCGCCGGGAAAGCAGACCAGCCTCGGGTGTCTTGAGCTGAGAAGAATTTAATACAGAGGATTGAGGCCTCACAAAACGCCCGGAAGGGCTACAGGATTCAGGGTCAGGGATGCCACTGCTCAAGTTCAAGAACCTGAACTTCAGAAGTACAGGGATTACAGCAAACTGCTGACACTGGGCTCAGCAGCCTGGGGTCCCCACTGTGGGCCATGTCCAGGAGAACACTGAGAACGTTCTGGTAAACCCTTGTGTCTCTGTCTGGCAAACAGTCACACAGCAGCTCGCGGAGGCTGCAGGAGAATAAGGGCCTCGTCCTGTCCTGGCCGGCTCAGCTCCTGCAAAGGAGCCTGGGACTTGTAGTTTCTAAGCTTCCAGCTCCAGTGGCACAGGGCAGGTGCCAGCCCATGAGTCTTTCAGGAATGTGGACCCAGTGTGGCCAGAGTTTCCAATTTTAAAAAAATTTTTATGTCTTTGTTTTATTTTGAGAGACAGAGAGCAAGCAGGGAACGGGCAGAGAGAGAGGGAGACACAGAATCTGAAGCAGGCTTCAGGCTCCAAGCTGTCAGCACAGAGCCCTACGCAGGGCTCAAACCCACAGACCATGAGATCATGACCTGAGCTTAACCAATTGAGCTACCCAGGTGCCCCCAGATTTTCCAATTTTTCAAGACAAGACAAAAATCTGGATCATGTGATGTGCAATTTACTTTTTTTTTTTTTTAAGTTCATTTATTTGTGGGGGAGGGGGACGGGCAGAGAGAGAGAGAATCCAAAGCAGGTTCCACACTCACCCTGATGGTGGAGCTCGAATCACGAACCGTGAGATCATGACCTGAGCCGAATTTGGACGCTTAACCAACCGAGCCACTCACATGCCCCAATTTACTGATTTTTAAACATAGGCAACAAATTCTAATTTGTTTTGGGGCAGGGTGGGGGAAGCCACACTGTATGGGCCAAAAAAAGAACATGTTTGTGGACTGGCTATGGGGAGGCAGGAGGGAAGCTTATCAGGAAATTGAACCCAGGGTATAATGGGAACCTGGGAGAGAGCTGGGACCCTAGCAGAGTTCTGGCCTGGCCTAGAGGCACCGAGAAAACTGCTGCCCGCCCCCCCCCCCCCCCCCCCCGGTTAACCTTAAAGAGAAAACGGCCAGTTATTTTTACAAGCAAAAATGGGTTTATTCGGGAATGGCAGAGAATTGCAATTCGGGACACCCCCCCCCCCTGCAGAACAGGTGAGAGCTATATAACTTAGGGACGTACTGCAATTTTCCAGGGCAAGGGGAACAGTGTTCCAGGTAGAAGGAACAACATGGTCAGGATCCCAGAGGCAGGAGTGAGCACGGATCGAAGGAGGAGATTGGAGAATGGGCTTTCGGGATACGACTGGTGGCCACATGGGGCCCTGACAGCTGGCAGAGATGGAGAGAGATGGGAGGGACTAAGAGGAGGAAAATGCGCCCATTAGATGTTTTAGAAAGCGCCCAGTTTTCATCCATTGTCCTGCCTGACCGAGGTCGGGCTGTGGGATAGGACGCAACGGCCACGGCCATGGCCGTGGAGATGGGGGCTCCTACACAGCATGGCTGCTGGGTGGGCGGGCAGTGGGCGGACACTGGGCGGCGGGGCTAGAGGTTCAAGCACAGACCGCCCATCCTGCCTTCAGAGCTGCTCCAGAAAGGTGACACCTGCATCACCAACACCGAAGGATGGGTGGGCCACCCCCTGGACCCCATCGGCTGCCTCTGCAGGGCGCTCCTGGAGGCCTGTCGCCTGGAGGAGGAGACCCTTGCCCTTTACCCAGGTACTTGCACTGGGGCCCCTGGGAGCGGGAAAGGGGCATCCCCCCACCCTCCCAGGAGAAAAGAAAGGGGAACCGCACCCATCGTCCCCATCGTCCTTGGCCGCACCCCTGCCCCTTGGCCACACCCCCCGACCGGTCCCAGCAGCCAGTAGACTCCACTTCTGAACACGAGGCCACCGTAGACCTACTGGTCTGCTGGTAGGAAGTGTCTGCTTAGAGCTGGGAGCTGCTGGGGTCCCCCTAAGCCTAACTCCCCAGCCCCCACGTTTGCGGTTAAGAGCCACTGGGGGGGGGGCGGTGCCCCTGAAACCCGTTTCCCACAGACTCGGGCCCCGAGAAGCGGAAGGTGGCCTACCAGCACGTGCCGGTGCCCGGGAGCCCTGGCGAGTCCTACCTGGCGCTGGCCCTCGAGGTGGCAGTGCTGGGCCTGGGGCAGCAGCGGGCCCTGCCCGAGGGGCTGTACGCCCAGGACAAGGTGGTGCGCAGCGAGGAGCAGCTGCTGGCGCTGCTGGAGGAGCTGGAGCTGGACGAGCGGCTGGTGCACGTGCTGCGCCGACAGGCGGGGCTGCTGCTGGAAGGTGAGGCCCCGCCCCCAGGCCCGCCGCTCTCGGGAAAGTGGGGCCCTGCCCGCCCGTCCCGGAGTGGCTTGCTGGCTGCTGGCTCTGCAGGCTCTGGCTCTTGGCCCCTTCAGTTCGCTCCTAGCTTGCCAGCACCTCACAGGTGAGATCCGAGAAGGTTCTGGCAGCCAGTAACTGCTGTTGAGCCGTGAGGCCCTGCCCCTCCTCCGCCTTGGTGTCAAGGAGCCTGGTGCCTGATGCCCAGTTGGACTTGACCGGCTCTGCCCGTGGCGCTGCCTTGTGAGGCCCCACCCCTGGAGCAGGTGCAGCCATCTCGTATCTGAGGCCTGCCTCCTACTAAGGGGGGGGGGCGGGGGCAAGGTCTCTGCTTAGGATCCTTCCGGTGCTTCGTGTCTCAGCCCTGCACCCAGATCTCCGGAACCTCTTTAACCCCCAGCCCCTCCCACTCTATCCTGGGGCCAGCCCGCCCCCGACTCAGAGCCTGGGGAGGGGTGGAGGCGAGCCCTCCCCTGGGGGCTGAGCTCCGCTTGCCCCTGCAGCGGGTCCCTTCAGCGGCTTCGGAGAGGTGCTCTTCCGGGAGAGCGTGCCCATGCACACCTGTGCCCGCTACCTGTTCACCGCGCTGCTGCCCCACGACCCCGACCTGGCCTACCGCCTGGCACTGCGAGCCATGAGGTGAGATCCGCGGCTGGCGACTGGCCCCGGCGTGGGGGGAGGGGCGGACGGCGGGACAGGAGGGTGAGCGGCGCCCTTGGAGCCGCATTCTCTGCCTGCGCTCACAACCTAGTTAATTCAGCCTTCCCCGGCTGGCATCCGGGTGCATGTGTATTATTATTTTGAATTTGAGAGATCTCCACATGGCACAGAATTCAGGGTCCTTTTTGAGACGTTTTTGTCCCAACCTACCCAAATATCTCTGGATGCAAGCCGCGTCACTACTTTCTTATCTAACTCACAAGAATCAAGATTTCTACAGACCCATGATCTGGAAATTGAAAGTTGGTCTTCCTTTTGTACCCGTGAGCCGTCCTGTATCTCTACCTTGCATTTTTTTTTTTTTTTTTTAGAGGAAAGTGCCAGCAGGGGAGGGGCAGAGGGAGGGAGAGGGACAGAGAATCTCCACCAGGCTCCACGCTCAGCACAGAGCCTGATGTGAGGCTCGATCTCATGACTGTGAGATCACAACCTGAACCAAAATCCAGAGTTGGACACTTAACCGACCGAGCCACGCAGGCGCCCCAGCAGAGTTTGTAGGGGCCTTCTGTGCGCAAAACCATGCCCAGCAAATAAAGTGCATTCTGTTCCCAGTCTCAGATGATCCCATTTAGGGTGTATTTTTCCAGAATATCTGGAATTCCAGCACATTCAGAGCCTGTGGGCCAGATTTGGCCATTGCCTATTAATTACTGTACCACCCAGGAGATAAGAATGGTTTTTTACACCTTTAAGTGTTTGAAAATAAAAGAATATTCTGTGACACATGGAAAGGAGACGAAACTCAAATTGCAGCATCCAGTAATAAAGTTTTATTGGCACACACAGCCACGCTCATTCACTTGTGTATTATCTGTGGCTACTTTGGCGTGGTGGCAGCAGAGTTATTGGGACAGGGACCAGATGGCCCACAAAGCCAAAACTACCGGCCGTCCAGGCTTGCACAGAGAGACGATGCCTGTCCCTGGGCCAAAGCCACGACTCACATTGCCTCATGTAATCTTAACAACCGAGAGAAATGAGTACGTTGACCCCCGTTTTACACATAAACACACTTGGGGCGTGTCCAGAGTCACATGCTGAGGAAACTTCAGTAATATTTGAGCCCAGAATAGTCTTGACTCCTATTCCGTCCTCTTGATCACACCTAACAACTTAGAAGTAACTTTCTACAGACATCTGTAGAGAGTGAGCTGGTTAACAGTATCTCCCAGTGGGCATGTAAAGCCCCGCCACCCCCCCCACCCCCGCCCTGCAAACATTTGTGTCCTTGGCATTGTTCTGGGTACCGGAGGCTCAACGGTGGATAAAATAGTCACAAATGCCTGCCTTCACGGAGCTGACATTTTACTGCGGGAGATACAACCAAGAAATTCATAGGCAGTGCGCCCGGGTGGCTCAGTGGGTTAAGCGTCCGACTCTTGATTTCGGCTCAGGTTGTGATCTCACAGTTCATGGGTCCTCTGGGTTGGGCTCCATGCTCCCAGGATGGAGCCTGAAGTGGGAATTTCCCATGCGGGGGTGTGAGGGAAGAGCCCACAGAAAAAAACTTTTGAGCAAAGATTTGAGGGTGAAGGAGAAGCTGCCGGGATGTCAGGGGAAGAGTGTTTCAGGCAGCAGGCAGGAGCAGCATGTGCAAAGGTCCTGAGGTCAGACTGTGCTTCGTTGTATTTGAGGGACACGGAGGGGAACAGTAGCTGAAGCAGAGTGAGAAAAGGAAGGGGGTGACAGAAGGATTAATGGGGGACGCATCAGGACACAAACAATCTCACATTTTTATCAGCCCTGGCACATGAGTAGAGTACCGTTTATTTAATCAACTGTGATGGGCGTCAGTAGTACTTCTGGGAACATCGTGCACACACAGTTGAGGCAGGAGGCCTCCTAGAGAACTGAGACTCCAGCCTCCTCTCAGCACCCCTGCTTCTCCCCCACCCCCACCCCTGCCCCCACCCCGCCCCAGGCTGCCTGTACTGGAGACTGCGTTTCCCGCCGGAGAGCCTCACCCCAGCCCGCTGGGCTCCATCACGAGCAGCCGCTTCCCCCGCTGGTTCATCCTTGGCCACCTGGAGACCCGCCAGTGCGAGCTGGCCTCTGCCATGCTCACCGCCGCCAAGGGTGAGGACAGTGGCTGCCCCCGTGCCCCTGGCCCCCTCTGCCTTCTCCTTCTTCCTTTCTGTCACTCCCTCCCTCTCCTTTTTACCCCTTCATCAGATTTCAGTTCTCCTTGAGCACTTCGTAGATGGCCCGGGCAGCGCCCCGTGGGGCCAGGGATGACCCAGGGCATGACGCCGATCCAAATCCCGCACCCTGTGATGTTACGTTCTCGTGGGGCGGGCAGACCACGCACAAGGTGAAACGGTTATGTTAGGCAGTAGGCAAGGGGGTAGGAAGTGCCATGGAGGGGATGAAGGGGGCTTACGCTTAAGCCAGGAGGGCTGAGCGATGGCCGATACCTGCTGTCCGAGTCCCCCGGGGCCTCATGACCAAACCACAGCCAGGGGGAGGGGGTGGGGGCTCAAACAGCAGACGTTTATTTTCTCACGGCTCTGGGGTCTGGAGCCCCAAGATCAGGGTGGCAGCCTGGTCGGCTCCCAGTGGCTTGCAGATGGGTCTCTCCGTGGCTGCAGAGGCCACCTTGCTGTGTGTCTTCCCCGGGCAGAGAGAGAGCTCCCATTTCTTCCTCTTCTCAAGAGGACACTAACCCCGTCACGGGGCCCTGCCCTCTGGACCCAATGCCTCCTGAAGTCCCCCATGTCCAGAGGCCATTGTCCTCGGATCAGGGCTTCAGCAAGAATTTGGGGGAGTGGGGAGAGCATTCCAGGTAGAGGGAACCGCCAGTGCAAAGGCTCCGAGGCTGGACTGCACCTGGTCTGTGTGAGGAACAGAGGAAGCCCGTGTGGCTAGAGTGACAGAATTGTAGGATCTGGGCCGGTGATTATAACAGCAATAAAAGCTCACATTTGTGTAGCTCTTGCCCTGTAAGTACGGGCTCCCCATGCCCCCGTGAGGCAGGTACCATTGTGTTAGTTTAATCCATTTTACAGATGGGGCCACCAAGGCACAGAAAAAGGTAGAGTGACGTCAACAGCAAGGCAGGGATTTGGATCCTGGTGCTCTGGGTCCAGGACCCATGCCCTTGACAATTAGGGGTCCTTTGGGGGCTTTGTCCCACGGGATGAGGGAGTACCAAGTGTGGACCGCTGCCAGGTGCTTCTCCCTCCTCATACGTGGGGGGAGGGGGGGAAGCCGTGTGAACAGTTTGGGGGCAGCAGCAGGGTCTGGTGCCAGGTGTGCCGACCCTGCCCTCCTTCCCTCACCCCTAGGAGACCCCAAGTGGCTGCATGCGGTACTGGGATCCATCCAGCAGAACATCCACTCGCCCGCCCTGCTCTTCAAGCTGGCCCAGGACGCCTGCAAAACAGCCACCCCTGCCAGCGCGCCTCCCGACACCACGCTGCTGGGCATCGCGCTGGAACTGGGCCTGCAGGTGGGCGGGGAGGGGGATTATCTGAGGACCCGCCTGAGTGTGAGCGGCACCTCTGGGGGCGGGGCCGCGAGGGGCAGCCTCTGGGAATGCGGGAATGGAGTCACCAGTGAGGGGTGGGCTTATGAGTGAGGGCCTCAGTGGCAGAGTCTGAAGGTGACAGTCCACTTCTGGGGGGGGGTGGCCAAGGATGAGGATGCGGGTCCTCGATGCTGCGGGTGGGCCACAAAAAGAAACAGAGCCTAGGGTGCGGGCCTAGGGGTGGGGCCTGGGGCTGGTGTGCCCCCTGCTAGGGACCCTGGGTGGGCGGGGCTGAAGCTGAGGGAGCAGAGCCAATAAGGAGCTTGCTTGGGGGCGGGGCCCGCGGGAAAGAGGCCTGGAAGGAAAGGTCACTGCGGAGGGTGGGACCTGGGAGAGGGTCCTGAAGGTGAGGGGCCGCCTCTGAGGCTGAGGTCTGCGATGGAAAGTCTTTGAGGCAGGGCCTGCGAGTGGGGGCCATCCCCAGGGGCCGGGCAAGGGCCGTCCTGCGAGGCAAGTCAGAGGCCAGCAGGGGTGCAGCCTGGAGGTGAGGAGTCAACTGCTGGGTGTGGGACCCGGAGGGGGCGGGGCCTCAGAGTGCGGACTAAGTAAAATAGAACAGCGAACCGTTGGGGGCAGGCTTACAGGATGGGGTGGGACCTTCTCAGGTAGAACTGGCAAGCAAGGGGCCTGAAGAAGGCGGAACCAGCCCTGAACGGCCTCCTGGGGGACGGGGGGGGGGGGGGGGGGGGGGGGGGGGGGGGGGAGGCCTGTGAGAGGTGAGGCAAGGGACGGGGTCCCATAGAGAGGTGATCCACTATTTAGGATCTTGCAGAAGGCAGAGTCCACCAGATGAGACCTGGGGAGGGGGTCTGGGGGAGAGGCAAGCAGGGAAGGTGGGGCGTGTAGGGCAGGTGCTTTGGGGCTACACAAGCATGGAACTTTCTAGAGAGAAGGGCCAGGTTGGTTTGTTGTCTGAGGTGGGCTCCACGGGGCCTCAGAATAACACCAACATTAGCAGTAACGGTCATGGCTGGCGCTGTCGGGCTGAGCGCTTTGAAGCAACGGGTACTGGGCAGATGCAGGAACGTTACCTGAATGATTGCACTTAACTGTCAGAACAGCCCTATGAGGCAGATACTGTTTTTAATCCCCATTTTATTTTTTTAATGTTTTTATTGTTTTAATTTTTGAGAGAGAGAAAGAACGAACGTGAGCAGGGGAGAGGCAGAGAGAGGGGGAGACACAGAATCCGAAGCAGGCTGCAGGCTCTGAGCTATCAGCACAGAGGCTGACGCGGGGCTCGAACTCAAACCGGGAGATCATGACCTGAGCCAAAGTCGGACACTGAACCGACTGAGCCACCCAGGCGCCCCTAATCCCCATTTTATTTTTTAAAATCTTTTTATTATTTTAATTTTTGAGAGAAAGTGTGAGCAGGGAAGGGGCAGAGAGCGAGGGAGACACAGAATCCAAAGCAGGCCGCACACTCTCAGCTGTCAGCACAGAGCCCCAAGCTGGAGCTTGAACCTACGAACTCCAGGATCATGACCTGAGCCGAAGTCAGACGCTTAACCGACCGAGCCACCCAGGCGCCCCTCTAATCCCCATTTGATAGACAAGGAAACTAAGGCCCCAGGAGGCAAGGCCGCATGTCCAGGTTGTACCGCTCACTGATTCAACCCCTACCTTCCGAGTCCCCTGGGCCCCTCGGATCCCTGATCCCCTTCCCCGGCGCCTTCCACGACGCAGGTGATGCGCATGACCCTGAACACCATGACCTGGAGGCGGAGGGAGATGGTGCGTTGGCTGGTCAGCTGTGCCACAGAGATTGGTGAGAGTCCCTGGGGAAACCTGCCGGCTCTCCCCCTGTGGCAGCCGACAGGCGTGAGAGAGAAGCGAGCCTTTGCCCTGCCTCCAGACCTTTTGAGCCCAGGGCCAAGCTGGTGCGGCCGGGGTTGTGGGGGGACAGAGCTGGACAGAGCCTGGAGGCTGGCCAGGCTGGAGTGGCTTGGAGAAGGGACAGGGGCCCGAAAGCGCAGCCCCACCTACTCGCTTCGCACCCGCAGCTCGGCTGCCCCCTGCTCCTTTGGGAAGGTGGGGTGCGGTTCCTATCAGGCTTGGGGTGGCGGCACCCGGGTTGTGTCTTCAGCCCCCATAGCGGCAGCGATGGCGGCGTCAGGGCAGACGCGTGCCCGCCCGGGGGAGTCCCCACCCTTCTCCCCGGCCAGCTTTGCCCTCTTGGCTCCCCCCAGGCCCCCAAGCCCTGATGAACGTCATGCAGAACTGGTACTCCTTGTTCACGCCCGTGGAGGCCGCCACCATCGTGGCGGTGACCGGCACCACGCACGCCACGCTGTCGCGGCTGCAGCTGGATGCGCCGCGGCGCGAGGAGCTCTGGGCCTGCGCGCGCACCCTGGCCCTGCAGTGCGCCATGAAGGACCCGCAGAACTGCTCCCTGCCCGCCCTCACGCTGTGCGAGAAGAACCACGCGGCCTTCGAGGCGGCCTATCAGATCGTGCTGGACGCGGCGGCCGGCGGCCTGGGCCACGCCCACCTCTTCACGGTGGCCCGCTACATGGAGCACCGCGGCCTCCCCCTGCGCGCCTACAAGCTGGCCACGCTGGCCCTGGCGCAGCTCAGCATCGCCTTCAACCAGGACAGCCACCCCGCCGTCAACGACGTGCTCTGGGCCTGCTCGCTCAGCCACTCGCTGGGCCGCCACGAGCTCTCTGCCATCGTGCCTCTCATCATCCGCAGCATCCACTGCGCCCCCATGCTCTCCGACATCCTGCGCCGCTGGACCCTCTCGGCCCCCGGCCTGGGGCCCCTGGGGGCCCGCCGGGCCGCCAAGCCTCTGGGCGCTGACCGGGCACCGCTCTGCCAGCTCCTGGACGCCGCGGTGGCCGCCTACATCGCCACCAGCCACTCCCGCCTCACGCACATCAGCCCGCGGCACTACGGGGACTTCATCGAGTTCCTGGGCCAGGCTCGCGAGACCTTCCTGCTGGCGCCCGACGGGCACCTGCAGTTCGCCCAGTTCTTGGAGAACCTCAAACAGACCTACAAGGGCAAGAAGAAGCTGATGCTGTTGGTGCGGGAGCGCTTCGGCTGAGGGGCGGTGGCGGGCGTGGGGGCCCCCTTCACCCCTGCCCCCTCGGCGCCGGCTCTCCCTCCGGGGCCTCCACGCTGGAGGCCGGTGTGGCATTTCAGTATTAAGTCAGGGAAGGAGCCCCCTGGAGCTAGGCGATCCTGCCTGCCAGCCCCCGGAGCCCTGCTGGGGGGGGGGGCGGGGGGCGGCTCAGGGGGGTGACTTCCTGCCACGTGCGTGCCTAGGAGTGTGCAAGCGAGTGTGCGAGACGCAAGGATCAGAAGCCATACCGCGCCACCCAGAGGCCTGGAAGGGGGTGTGTGCTCGGGCAGCTGGTATGACCCCGCCTTGGGCGCCCCAAAAGCAATAGGCCAGCTGTCCCTCCCCAAACGGGCAGGCCTGGCTTGGACTTGGGGGGAGAGGGGGAACTTCGAGGCAGGATGTTCCAGAAACTGGCTCTTAAAAGTCAATGTAGCAGCCCCCCCCCCCCCCCCCCCGCGCGCGCCCCACCCAGGGTGGCCGCGGGACTTATTAGGGCATCTGAATCTCCCTTTGTACCCTCTCCTCACTGCCTCAGGGGCCCTGTCCCGCGGCCCAGCGCCCCCTGCAGGCGGCCCAGCTGGGACGAATGGCTCATCGCCACAGAAGGATTTGAAGAGGCCTCAGGCCTCAGCCACATACCTCACCCCAGTCCCCCCAGGACTCCCAGTCCCGAGGATGCCAGGGTCCCGGGGCAGGCTCGAGGGGGCCCTACTGCCCCTCTCCCTACCTGCTAGTCACTGGATACAACTCAGGAATGAGCCAGGCTCCTGCGGCCCTCCAAACCTGGTGTTGGGCGGGGGGCGAGACGAACGCCAGGGACTCTCCCCCCACTCCACCTCACACCCCCCCCCCAGATCCGGAAAGGAGACAAGTCGGCATCCTGGCATTTCTGACTCTGGCTCTCTCTTTCTCCTCCTCTTTGTCCCTGACCCCCCCCCCCTTCATCTTACTCTCTCCCTTTCCCTGTTTCCCTTCATTTAGCCTTTCTATTTGTGTCTCTGAATCTCAGCTGCTGTCTCTCTTGGGTCTCCCCTTCCCCACCTTGGCCCAGGGAGGAGGAGGAGGGAGAGTGTCCCACGCCAACCACCCCGTCTGTCTTTCCTCCCCTTGTAATTAGGGACAAAATCATGTCATTTTGTAACTTTTTTTTCTATTTATTGAACCGTATATTGTATTTCCTTTTTTTTTTTTAAATATTGAACACAACTTTTGAGACTGAGGTGTGTCCCCTCCCCCCGCCACAACCCCCCTCCTCCCCGCGGACCAAAGCCACCTGATCCCTGGACAGGTAATCTCCAGCCTTGGCTGCTCCTGGCACAGCTTCAAGCGAGGGGTGGAATCGGAGTGACTGCTGGCTGGCTTCGTCCGGTGGCAGTAGTGTAGCTAACAGTAGACAGGGCTGGGAGTTCACCATGAGCAAGCCCCAAGGAGTGCTTTATACCTGTCACCTGTCACAACACCTGTCACAGTGGCCCTGCCAGTCGAGAGGAATATCATTCCCGAGGATAGTGCGGCTCCAAAGTTTAAGGAAAGGGTACCCGTTTTAGGAAGAGGCAGAGCTTGATTCAGTACCATGCTGAAGCCGTGGACGGGGCCCCCCCGCGGGCAGCATGGCCCTTGAACTGCTGGGAATGGCCACTAGGGGGTGCCCTGCCTCCAGACACCAATGTTGGAGGTAACTAGTCTCCAAGTTGCTGGGGGCGGGGCGGGGGAGGGTTGCCTGTCAGGTGCTGGGTGCACCTGGGTGGGGAAGGCACAAGACAGGAATCCTGGGCTTCCGCTCGGCCTCGGTGGGCGCGTTCTGGCGTTGGCGAGAAATGCGGGTGGGTGTGGTCAGTGAGGGGCGCGGCCCGGGCGCGTCTGGATTCCTACGCGGCAGAGGCTTCCCGTCCCCAAATAGTGAGCTGTCTAGGGGACCGCAGAGAAGGCCCCCGGTTGCCGCCTTTCCCTAGTTCCCTGGGAAGCAGGACCCTCCTGCCTTTAGAGTGTGACGGATGGATGAACAAAAAGTGTGTCTGGGTCACTGTCAGGGCCGGGGCAAGTGAGGACAGGCTGCGAGCAGAGGCGGGGTACAGAGCGGCGCTGGGCGGAGCTGGCCGCCGGAGGGCGCCAAGACAGCGCGCGCAGTCGTGGGCGGGGCATCGGCGGCGCTGGGCACAGCGATTGGTTCGTGGCACCACCCTCTGCCCGAGAGGGCCAATTGGAGACGGAGCCCTCTCCTGTCCCGCCTCCCCTGTTCCCGCAGGTATGTGCCGGCGGACCTCAGCTGGCCGGCGTGCTCTTGTGCGCCGCCTAGAGGCATGATGGAGGGTAGCGGGGGCAGTCTCCGGGTACTCCGATTTGCTTCACTCTTAAGTCTCAGCTGCTTACAAGTGCCGTCCTCGGACTTGGGGCCCTTCTTGTGCCCCTCGGCTCTCAAAGCCATGCAAGGGCCCTGTTCCCCTTGGGCCCGGGGGTTCCCTTATAACACACGCACACCTCGAACACGAGTTCCCTGCCAGCATTCTCCGATACCAACACGGCCAAGTCTAACCTCAAGCCTGAATTCTCGCTGATCTCCACCACCCTCTAGATATCACTAGCTCAAGACCCCCGGGTCCCAGCCATCTCTAAATGCCCAGCGTTTCCCTCGGGGTCACCCCCCACTGCCACCTGAGGTTGGGTTCAATGGGCCCTGGGCTTGGGGCGTTCCTCCTGTGACCCCATCTAGATCCTTCCTAGAACAGCTCTCCCCGCCATTGCATCCGCCCTCCCTCAGAGTCACCCCCTGATCCTAGGCCATCCCTCAAGGTCACCTTTCCAGCTCTCTCTGGCCCGTGTGACTATACTGTGACCTCAGAAGGGGCGGGACAGGCATGGGGATCCTGGGAAGTCAGAAGCTCAGAGTGCAGGGTCAGTAAATCCAAACCCACCAATCCTCCCCACCAGGAAAGCCGAAACTCCAGCGACAGGAGGAGGGGAGTAAATCACACACTACAGGCCTTCAGGAATGAGGCAGCTTTTATTTAATTGGACAACAGCAATACACAGCACAGGCCCTGTCCCTACCCCAGGGTGGAGGGGTACCCTGGGCCAGCCCTGACAGCGCAGGGGCCCTCTCTGCTCGCCCGGTGCCGCTCCACAAAAAGTCCATCCTATCTGATGCTGGACAGGGTCTCAGGTCTGAACAGGCCCATCTGTGTCCTTTCTGGGCCCACAAGGGACTTTGCTCCCTGCTCCCCATGCCTGGAGAGTGTCACAGCTCTTCCCTCCACCCCCAAGTTAGGACGCTGCAGGGCTCAGGGAGAAGAAGCCAGGCACAGTCAGGTCAGGCCAGCCTGGTTCCGGAAGCCAGAGTTGGCATTTAACGGTCTGGGGACCCGGGGCGGCTTCCTCTTGGGTAACTGCCTGCTGGGAAGGTACAGGCCTGGGAGAGAAAAGGCCAAGGCTCCAGACTGGGAGGGCCATTGCGGGAGATGGGGACCCAGATGGCTTCCCTTTTTAATGGGAGGGCTGCCCACCCACCTGCCCATTCTCCCTAGGAGTCCAGTCCAGCCCCAGCCGGAAGTAGGCGGCGGGATCCCCAAGCACGGAGTTGGGGGAGGGGGCCTACGGCAGACAGCTGGGTCCACCCACCCCATTCCAGGCTACACTCCCCCTCCCTCGAGTCCCCCCTCCCGACACGGGTCTGGGTCTGGGTCCTCAGTTCTACCCCCAGGCATCAGCCCACCCGAGGCGGGCAGGCTGCACAGGCTCCGAGGGGGCTCGACTCCTGTTCCTGCTGAACTGAGCCAGTCTGCACAAATCAACTGTGTTTCAGCTCAGTAGGCACGGGAGGCAGAGCCCAGGGAGGCCCAGGCAGTGGGGACAGGCAGGCGGGCAGGGCCAGAGGAGGCGGAGTCCCGGGGGGCGGAACTTAGCCACTGTGAACACGACTTGGTGTGACTGCTCACAGCAGCTAAGCCCTGCTCCCCAGGCCAGACGCAGGCGGCAGGGGCCTCTCGGCCACCCATTCCCGTGCCCGTCCCCGGGCAGCGTCCTCAGCAGTGAAGGCGGTGGCGGCAGCCCCAGAGGCAGGGCTCAGGGTCGGTTGGAAATCCCTGGCAATGTGATTTGTGACACAGGCAGCAAATCCCATCCCCAGGAACCCCAGCCGGCCGTGGCACAGGGGTGGGGGGGGCGCCGGGGGGCAGCGGTTGGCACCTGGGGGGGGGGCAGAGAGAGAGCAAAGGAGGTCATGAGATTTGAAGACATCTGTGCTCCAGGTCCCCACGGAGGCCTGGTAGGGAAGCCCTCTCCCCACACAGGGCAGCAGCTGACGGGGAATGCTGGGCCACCAGGCTGGATGCCCCCACCGCAGCCCCGGAGACACAGAGATGTACCCAGGACCCCCTCTGGGCCAAGGAGGCTGCAGGACCTTCCAGACCCAGATCCTCCCCTTTTCCCGCACACACACACACACACCCGCCACTAAGCCCTGGGCAGGCTAAATGGGGCCATGAGGAGAGGAAGTCGATGGGGTGGCGGGCAGGCGGGTGAGGAAGTGATCTCACCCCAGCTGGCGCCACTTCCTAGAAGCCTGAAGGGCAAAAGGAAACCGCCAGGGCCTCCCCCCTACCCTCCCGTGGCCCCATCTCCTCCGTGGCCAGGCCTTAGTCTGCAGCCCATCAGAGCGAATGCCGGCAGTGGGCACCGCTGGGCACACGCATCCCCAGAGCACCGGCCGCAGGCTCAAGGTGCAAATCTCCACTCCGCAGTTTCCCAAACGCCCTCCAAGCCTCAGTTTCCCCCTGTGTGAAACAGCCAAAGGCCTCAACCGCATGGCACTGGTAGGTTTCACCAAGTGTACGTGTCATTCACAAGCCTCCAGCACCAGAATCGCCTTATGAATTTTCAATGCTTGCTGCAAAATGAGACGGTGGGCCTTCTTCACAACTTAAGAATTTCAAGACGCTGACAGCTGAGCATTCATCCAAGCTCAGGCCCTTCTTGGGGGGGGGGGGGGGCCTGTGAACCGCTCGATCCCAAGCCCATGAAACCAGCCTGTTTAGTAAATGCAGCTCTCCTTAAGGATACAAACCCTTTGGCCAGGAGACCCCGACTCTGGAGCCTGTTTGTGCAGCTCTGAACCCTGGTTCTGTAGCGTCCTGGCTGGGTAACTCCTAGAAAGTCACTCAACCTTTCTGGGCCTCCCTCTCCCCATTGGCAAAGCAGAGATAAGGCCGCGGTAAGGAAGGATGGGCTAGCCTGTCATCATCAGGGAGGACCAGAAAAGACGGTGGCAATGAAAACTCCAAACACGGGTGGGACCCCGGCACCCAGATCTGGTGGCGTCCGTCACTGGGAGACAGGTGTTAAGGGATGTCACACTCTGTTCCGCGACCCCTCCCATACATACACACTCGCGCATGCGCACGCGCACACACACACACACACACACAGTGGCTACCCGCTTTCTCATCAGGCCCCAGCCCTGTCCCCTCAGGGTCTGGGGGGGCACCAACCGGGAGCAGACAAGGCCCTGCAGGGCGGCCGGCCTCCCTGGGCCGCCTCCGGAAGTGAGACAGCACATTCGTGTCCCAGGGACGAGAACGGGAAGGGCGGCCATTTGGCCAGGCCTGTTTCCTGTGGGGTTTCCCCTGCACA